CAGCGATTTATAAAGAGACAAAATTATATTTTCATCCTGAGAATTTATGCCCCTATTTATACATAACAAAACCTTACTGGCCTTAGCAACCAAGGCTCACGGATTTTTCATAACCTGTCATCTCAAAAATCTGGTTACAGCCATCAATAGCTTCCTTTTTCTGCCCCGTCCAAGTAGTGTAACCACTGTTCCTTCAACTTTGAAGTTGCAAACTTTGCTTCCAGTGGTGTCTCTATGAACATTCAGTGTCTTCAGTATCTTTTTGTATCCTCTTCATTGTTTGTGAAGGTTTCGATGATCTCTTCTCTTCACTTTGTGGACCATTCTTTTTACTTAGCCATATTTCTAACATGCAGTCCAACATGACATTCAACAAGCCCTTAGTCAGTTCAGGTATTTCAAGTGTTCCAACTCAAGCACACCTGGTGCAACTAATGAAGGCCTTGATTAGTTGCATCAGGTTTGCTTGAGATAACACCTGTTTTGCATATTTGTGCTGTTGTGAGAGATTCTATTTGGGGAGTTGAGTAATTTTGAAACTGGAGAAATTATTATAAATTGCATTTTCTGTTGAATTTGGGGAAACTAATTGAAACTACCATGCATTGTGTTAGCTATTTTAATTGCTTTTGTTTGGTCTGTTCTTTGCAAAGACCTGCAAGTCTGTCATTTTGACATTAAACCTGATTTTCAGTGGGGGTTGAATAGTTTTGATTACAACAGTATGTGTGACAGAGCAATTGTTCTGTTACTGGTCTGTCATCATGTCATGCCTATGTTGTCCCTTATTTTGCCAAAGATGCCAGGTACCATAACCATGTTCACCTATTGCTTTATGTACAAAGCATAATTCTGGAGGTAAAGCAGACTCTGCAGGATTACATTGTGTCACAGTAAATGAGTCAGGGACAATGGTTGATAGTTTACCCCCTGCAGTGCAGGCACATCATCTGTGCACAATTATGGAGACAGAGTGGAGTCTATTAATTGGATTCATTGTTCCCCCCTCTGTCTGGAATTACCTGTACCTGATGTCTTGCGTTAATTAGAGTTTGAGTTTTACTAATATTACCTGTTGTTTAGTATACCTGTAATTGAATTACCGGTTTTAAATAAGGCTCTCTTTTGTTTGAGATTTATGATGTTCTAATTGATTTAATTTTTTCTTAGGCCTCTCATGCCCCTGTTTATGTGCTATTTTGAGAACTGCTATACATTCTGTCTATTTACCAGAATAAAGAGTTGTGACGAACTGGACCTCGTTACGCGTTCTTGGAGGAGCATACTTGCCAGCCTCTTGTAACTATGGCCCCTGTAAGGAACTTTGGGTTAAAGACTCTGATCGTACCTCTTGGACTTATAACAGGCTCTGTTCGTGCAATTGGGACTATATGGTTCGTTTACCGAACAGCCGCATGAACCGGAGACCACCCTGGAGCTTGTTAAGCTTAAATGATACATTGTTGTAATTGCCACCGCAGTGGTCTAAGTGTTCACCTGGGTGGCCGCAATCCCTATGGATGACCACAAGGTGGTGGCCATCTTGTTCACATGGACAAAAACTGCGAATAGACTTCAGGGGGACTTAGCCGCGAATGCCCTGGAACTATTTTCGGCATGAAAACTTTGCGGTTCCCGGTCGGTCCTCCAGCGGTACTTTGCCACAATTGTATGGAACTATTTCCGGTTATGGGCCCATGCCTGCGTTCGGTAAAAACTATGACTTCCATAAAATTTCTGAACCCCTGAACTGATCTCGGTGATTTTTGGATATGTTGGTCACCCAGGTTCGGGCTATCAAAGGATGTAACTTTTATGGTGATTTTATGTGTTTTTTGGGGGGGTTGTAAAAATGTGTGTTTTTTTGTGTTTGGAGATAATTGAGTTTAGTATAGTGCTTGACTCCATCATCTCCAATGACAAGTAAAGGGGAAGGCTTATTGTATTGTATGTGGGAGTGTCGTGCATTTAATCACTGTTCTTATTGATTTGTCAGTTTGTGTCCCTGTCCCCACCAAGGTCCATGTGGGTGTACCTCTTGCATGGGGATTGTCATGCTTATGGTCCTCAGCGTCAGCTAGAAAGCATCGATTGGCAGAGGTACCCAGTCGGGGTGCCAGGTGGTCCGTCACAAGAGTGTTCTTGATTTACTAAGAAAGAGCTTGCATGTCTCTTGAAGAATACAGGTATATTGTTTGTTGTACACTATAGAGATGTTACTCATAGAGAATTGCCAGTGGACTAGATAGATACAATATTGTGATGGATTGCCTGGCCCCCCGACTGGGTGCCTCCGCCCAACACTGCTTCCTAGTACCTCCGAGTACTTCCAAGCACTCCACCAGACACCATCAGTACCGTAGTCCCCACTTCCAGCATTTCAGCTTGGCTGGGGTCTCGCCCGTCCTCCACCCACCCTGAACCCAATACCAGGATCCAGCTTCCAGTGGGCAGACCTCTCCTACCACCCCCACACATGAGATGAGACTATATGTTGAGGGTAGGCAGGAACACATTTAATGGTAGCCACAACTGGCCTTATATACAGGTCCGTATGCAAGGAGCACTCCCCTCTGGACCTGAGAGTAAACTACAGTAGAAACAAATACACAATTACATTGGCTCTCAGATCCAGGACTCTCCTATACATAATAAGATAATCCCTCCTCTGTGCCGTGAGATAATTGGATCAGGAACTGTACTAATCTAATCCAATTATCTCCAAGCACAGAAAAACATGCAATACAACAACACCCTAAAAGTACCCCTAAAACACATGGAAACCCCACAAACATCATATCCCCTCATAGCCCCAATCTGGGGGACCAACATATTCAAACATCACCCAGATCGGTTCAGGGGTTCGGGATTTGCAGAGAAGTCATCATTTTGACCGACCGTGCACATGGTCCTATGCCCAAAACAGTTCCATGAAATCAGTGGTAACAGTCAGTCAACTTCGGTAGTCTTTTACAGGTTTCCCTGCAGGGCCCATAGTCTGTGGGCTGGGGGCTGGCAAGCAAGCTCCTCCAGGAGCTCGTGGCAAACTCACGTGGGAAGGGGAGTTTGTCACAAATATCTTATACAAACCTGAGCTATCAGTGCAGTATATCCTATAATTACTGGTGGATACACTTCTTAAAGTACCGGGTCTTAGTGCTTAGTATAACAGTTAGCTGTGCAGGTTATCAAAAGAAACCCACTGACGATACACCTTCCACAGCAGTGATGCCAAGGCCTATCATCACAGTATGTCATAGCAGGGGCATAACTCCCTGCCCCTCTAATTTTGCTCCATTTTGCTCCTTGCTGCAATTGTTACTGCTTTTCTCATTTATTGTTTTTTTTGTCATTTGGCACTCCCTCCATTGTATCATCCCTTGGCAGCTGCACAGAACTAGTCAAGGTGATGACAAATATAGCTCCTGTATGGCTCCTGTTGTTGTGAAGCAATGAAGAATTGAAGCAGAAGAAATAATTAATAAATATTTACCAAAACTATCAAACCTTGCAATCTACTCTCATGCATCAATATTTAATCTATTAAAACTCAAAACAACCATAGGCCTTACTTTATACAATTAAACCCAAGTCAAATAGACAATTGGCATCGAGTTTATGACATAGAAGAAATGATCATACACTATTTGTCAGTCTATAACGGTGATTCCAAGAGATGCTTTTCCTACCCTTATCCATGCTTTTCACCTATTCCTCTTACAATCATCCAGCTAATCCTGACAATGGAGATACCTACCCCATCTCTCCGAATATCCAACATTAAAATGTGGAAGTTTCAAGCTACCTTGAGGAAGATATAATGCACACTGATTACCCTCACCTTCTCGGGGTGCTTCTGATGTATTCATGTGAGGAGCCCTTATAGTCTAATGTAAGATAAGGCACTAATATCAATTGGACTTTCATATAAACTATACATTCGATTCTGGACTCCTGGTATGCAGGGCCGCCATCAGGGGGTGACAACCATGACAGTTGTAACGGGCCCGGCGGTCCTGGGGGGCCCGCACTGCACTGCTAATGCCCAGCCCTTTAATGTGCATATATAGATATAGCGAGTAGCGCTACATATATATATGTATATATATATGTATATACATACCTCTGCGGGCCCTTCTGGCTTCATGTTCACCTCCCGCTCCGGCATTCTCGCGAGCAGCTGTAAAGCGTTGCCGAGGCTGTAAAGCATTGCCACGGCAACACTCCACGGCACGCAATGCATGCCGGGCTTGTGACAGAAGAAGAGCCCGGAAGGGAAAGATGAAGACTGGACCAACTGCTGAGCCACTGACTGGATCACCAGGGAATCCAGTGTCCCCCCTCCCTGGCTACAGGTAAGAGGCAGGGAGGGGGGAATACTTTTTATTTTAAATTAATAAAATGAATTGGAATGCTGCATTGCAGCGAAGCCACTGCTGTCTGGCTCGTGTTGATGAACGTAGGGCTACCCGATTCATCTTGTTTTTCAGGACATGTGATTTATCATGGTGATGGTCGGTAAATGAAAAGGTCTGTTTTACAGTATGTAGAATTCTAACAATGCAGGAAAGTGCAATACTAAAGAAACTGCATTGCTTATTTAATTCATTATTAAACAAATACTTTTTGTTTTATTTTTTTATCAAAGCAAAAAGGAAAAAAAAATACCCTCACTGCATTTGTCAAACATAAAGACACATTCACCACACACACACATCATCCACCACACAAACTGCACTCACTTCACAAGCACACACACCACATTCACTATACACAAAGCATTCACTACACAAACACACAGCATAATCTACACAAACACACAAACTGCATTTACTACACAAACACACACAGCTTTATCTACACAAACACACAGCTTTATCTACACAAACACACAAGCTGCATTCACCACACAAACACACACAGCATCGACTACACAAACACACAAACTGCATTCACTAAACAAACACACACAGCATCATCTACACAAACACACAAACTGCATTCACTACACAAAAACACACAGCTTTATCTACACAAACACACACAGCATCGACTACACAAACACACAAACTGCATTCACTACACAAACAAAACACACCACATTCACTATACACAAAGCATTCACCACACAACACACACAGCATTGACTACACAAACACACACATTCGCTATACACCCTCTACATCCACTACACAAACACGCACTCTGTATTTACTATACACACACTACATCCACTACACAAACACACACTCTGCATTCACTATACACACACGATACATCCACTACACAAACACACACTCTGCATTCACTATACACACGATACATCCACTACACAAACATACACTTTACCAAATTCAGTGCACACACACTTCATCCTTGTGGGTGGACTTAGGATGGTCCCTGTGGGGGATCTCAGAGGCAGGCAATGTAGGCAGATACAGACGGGCTCAGGGGTGGGCACCGGGGGCCCAGACTTTGGGCTGTGTCAGGGGCCCCATAATTTCTGATGGCAGCACTGGTGGTATGGCTGCATGCCTCATTACATTCAACTGATCAGATCAACTGATGTTTGTTGGTGCCATAGCCATGTCAACTCTTAAATACATTTCGAAAACCAATAGGGATTTCCTTAGGTTTATCTAAATCAGCATCCATACACTGAGGGCAGCTTGAGTGCCACCTTCATTTTACTTAGGTGGTAAAAAAAATACTACAGTATACAATTGCCTTAAATAACATTTTGAATTGACATAAACTAAGCATAAACATACATCCACATTTTAAACATCATCCACACTATTATTATTATTATTATTATTGCCATTTATATAGCGCCAACAGATTCCGTAGCGCTTTACAATATTTTGAGAGGGGGGATGTAACAATAAATAGGACAATTACAAGAAAACTTACAGGAACAATAGGTTGAAGAGGACCCTGCTCAGATGAGCTTACAAACTATAGGAGGTGGGGTATTTGAAACATTAGGACAAGAAATATCAAGTAGGAGTGAAGCAGAGCTGGAGGAGAGAGCAAAGCACTGTCCCATATGAGAGAGCAGGAGACAGGTATGTAAGGTAGAGATTACTCTGGGAGGACATAAGCTTTCCTGAAGAGATGGGTTTTAAGGCCCTTCTTAAATGATTGAAGACTAGGGGAGAGTCTGATGGCAGTAGGCAAGCTATTCCATAGGAGAGGAGCCGCCCGCGAGAGGTCCTGCAAGCGCGAGTTGGCCGTACGGGTGCGAGCAGCGGTCAGGAGGTGGTCACGGGCAGAGCGGAGGGAACGAGGAGGGGCATATCTATGGATTAGTGAAGAGATATAAGTGGGGCTAGAATTGTTCAGTGCTTTAAATGTATGGGTCAGCACTTTGAATTGACTCCTATAGCATACAGGGAGCCAATGTAAGGACCGGCAGAGGGGTGAGGTGTGAGAGGACCGACTAGAGAGGAAAATCAGTCTAGCTGCAGCATTCATTACAGACTGTAGCGGGGCAATACGGCTTTTGGGGAGACCAATCAGGAGAGGGTTACAGTAATCCATGCGGGAAATTACTAGAGCATGGACAAGCTCCTTGGTAGCATCTTGCATAGCACTATGTGATCTTTTTTCTTAATATCCCACACTGAAAATGCACACTTGCGTAAATCATTTTATTTCACATACCTTTATATTTCCTAATATTAAAATCTATTAAACCTTTGTCTTTAAATGTTTATAGAAAACATTCCTCCCAAGCGTTAATATTTAGGTGTGTGAGTCCCTATTTTAGGCTTAATTTCCTCTGTACATCTGTTCTATCCCAATTGTTGGGTATTCAAAGTGAATTTCAAAGGTAAGGCCAAAGTAGCTAAACTGGAAGTATAGCTGACTTGGATAATTTTTCCAGTTTAGATCTGTTTCACCTTAAATATGAAATGCACTTTGAATTGCTGACAATTTATCATTTTAGTGTATAACATTGTGCTTCAAAGACAAATTATTGACTGACTCACATCTAGAAATGTTTGATATGGCATTGACTCCCATATGGTCCAACTTTACTATGTTTTGCTTCTACCAAACATCTCTAAAGAATGTATGCCATGGTGCATTTAAGACAATTTCCTGTGTGCTTGTTCTGTATGGAAGCTTGCCAGAACTCCGCTTATTTTATTTATTAAACCGTATCATCAAAATCTTTTTGGATAACCCACAATTTAAAAATAGTGCATTCACCTCACTTTTCAACATGGTTCTCTTTTACTTAACAAAATAAACAGAAAATGCACCAATCAGAAGCAAAAAAAAATTGTATATGAAGCTATTTAAAAACAATAATAATAGTAATAGTGATAATACTAATAATACTACTTCTGTTTTTCTTCTGTCTTCTTCTCTCCAACTTCCACTCTGAATCAACTCCCTCTCTGCGATTTTTTTTTGGTGGTGTGATTCCTGTACCCCTTTTCCAAGCACTCGCACTGTTCCGTACAGTTACTAATCCTTGCTTCTTGAACCACTTTATCAGGTTATGCAAGTGCAGGCATACATCCACTGAGTTCTTTCCAGAGAGCAACTTTTATTTAGAAAAAGGTCCAGGATAGAAAATACAAACAATGTAGATTTTGCTCACTTGCAATGTTCATTACCAGCAATGTAGCATACAGCAGTCCGTTCACGATTAACGCTTGCTCCTGGCAAGGTTCCCTCTGAGTACACAGGGAAGTGACACTCCTGTGACAATTCAGCTCCGAGTGATAATCTGGTCACATTGATGACTGTCTGGCCTACACCCACTCACTCTCTCACTCACTATCTGCACACAGCCCCTTATATATGCAAATTGAATAACTATTTTGACCTAGTGGAATGCCCCAGAAACTACCAGAAAAAGGATGATGTGTCCGACTGTGGAACTTACTGGAAACTTGCAGTTTGTAGAACCAGACAGACAAGGGGTTAGACTGGTTTCATCTGGTGACTAAATGAGTTGTATATAATACTAAAGAATGTGACGGTAGATAAGAACCATTCGGCCCATCTAGTCTGCCCAAAAAATACTTTCATCAGTCCCTGGTCTTATCTTATAGCTAGGATAGCCTTATGCCTATCCCACGTATGCTTAAACTCCTTCACTGTGTTAACCTCTACCACTTGAACTGGAAAAAAACAACAGCCTTATACTTCATAATAATAATAACTAGCATTTATATGGAACCTGTCTCCCAGTGGGATTCAAACCACTTTTCAGCGTATGCTCTCGGAATTAACAAAATCAGACGCTGAATAGTGTAATAGATGTTATTAATCCACCCAATTGCTGTTACTTATTTTATCAACCTCAGAAGGATGAAAGGCTAAGTTGATCCTGACAGGAACTGGTGACCTTGCATTCTTTAACAGGCTTTGTAGTCAGGGAATTTACCAACTGAGCTACCTCACCAGCTTGACTATATGTTAATGCTCTCCCTTAAATAATGATACATATACAAAAACACATTAAACTATACTCATGAGCAGGAAAAAAACAGCACTGCACCAATCAAATGGACTCTATACGCAGGTTTTGATTGAATAACCAAGTCTGTCTTGGCTATTCAGTGCAATTATGTTTTACATTAGAGGGTTAAAAATAAAAGGCCATTGCATTAAGATGAAGTTGTCTTGGTGTCTTTAGTGGTACTTTTAATAGTACCATAGATAAAACCTACTGTATTTCTGTATTTTATAAAATTTTGATATCAACCATGCACCACAACCAAAACTCTTCTTCTGCACCTATTCCCCCAAAGGACAATTTCTTCATATGTAGTTTTCAGTATAATTCCTGACTCACCTAACATTCGTGAAAGAAACTCACTATACTATCAGTAGTTTCCAGAAAAAACATTTTACACAAATTAAGATCAATCCGCACTCTTTACAGTTATTCAAAGATAAGCCATTTTATTTGTCTTCCACTTAGGCTGGTCACACTTTTTTGCCCTAGGCAAATAAAAGGGATGTTTTTCCAAGCCAAGTAATTAAGTCCCTTGATACTGTCATCTAAACTTATATTAAAAAGGCTTTAGAGACCACTACCTAGCTCACGCTCTTAATCTTTCTCAATAATCCTCTATCACATTAGACATTTTGAATCACCCTTCATCATTAAAGGACCAGTCCAGACCCCTAAAGCCATTCACTTGCTTGCAGATTTAATAGAAATTGACATTTCTATAAATTAACCATGTTACGCCTCCAGGTAACTGGTTATATTACTGCCCTGGTTATTTAGCTCAGTGGAGTTTATTTCTAGAGACAATTATCCAGAGCACTTGCCTTGCGTAGACTTCTCATTGAACTGCATTGGAAAATTTGTGATTGGACAGCCACAGTAAGTCTGGAGTGGGTCAGAAGGGGAGGGGTTGTAAAGGCTTCAGACAAGAGATCTGTGACTTTGCTCTATATATTTTAGATATACTTTTAATGAAAAAAATGCATAATCATAGTAAACAATGCTCAATTTTGTTGTATCTGGGCAGTGGAGTATACCTTTAAACCTAACACTGCATAGTACACTACAAGCTGGATTTAAACACATTTAAAAATGTGCTCATTGTACATTTTCCTAATCCATTGTTTTAGGGTGTGGTTGTGTTTTGTGCAATGAAAAGGAAGCATATACACTTGCTAACATACCTTTTTAATTGTGGTGGATGTATTTACATCTACACCAATAATATTCAGAGCTTCCTTGCAGTTGATTTCTGTAAACAGGATCCTTTTATTCTTGTGTACATGGAGGTCATAACCTGTGGGACCATCATAGAGTCGTGGCTCGTAATGGAGATCTGAATTTGGACTGTTCTTACACAAGTACAGTTTACAACGTTGGCACAAGTAGACCACCACGGATTATCCCTGGCTTCCATGAAACAAGGACATGAACAGGTAAGCACCTGCCTCTTTTAAAATAATGAATAATATGTTTAAAGAAAATTGGTCTTATATGCTTACTCTTGAGTAGTTGTAAGGCATTGTGGGGCCTCTGAGAAGATGCTGTACGGGGGATGGTTGTAATATAAGTAACATCTCTTCTTGGAACCTCATTTTCCTTACTCTTTCTATTAATGCATTCAGTGTGTAAGAAAAGCAAGTACAATCTGGTAATACAAGGGCAATTCTCACATGGGAAATTCGAGCATCAATCTGCTGGTAATGACTGCCAGAGTTATAAGGTAATAAGAAATCTCTTTACTCCAACTATAGTGAAC